TCCCGTCCACTACAACTCTCTTGCCTTCCCTTCCCGAGTCCTTCATTCCCATATGGCATGCCCTTATTTCACCTCCCAAGAAAAATAGAGGACCAACCAGAAAAATTCCGGGAACACGGGGGAAATAGATACTGACACAGCGACCATAGCAGAGCAGTGTAAACGCCCTTCAGCCTATGACATGGACCTGGAGAGCGTGTGCTGTGTGCTGTCACTTGTGGAAGAGTCTGCAAACACTCATTCAACATACACACACACACACACAGGCGCAAGCGAACACCCTGCTCGACTTGCCTTTTTGAGAAACCCAGGCCTTAGAGCAGCAAACGACTCACTATTACCAGACCAGAGAGGGCGTTCATACCTTCAAATCACGGTCAAAACACGCGGTAAAAACGGCCTAAAAACTGAAAGGTAGCCCTCCAGTGTTGTCTCTACTAAGAACCGCGTGTATACGGTCGAACACATCGTCGAGCGGCGCCGTGTATGAGGTAATAATCATATGTAGAGAGTACATCGAGGACCAGGCTCGCAGCGGGGCGAGGAGGTGGAGCGTATGTGCCGGTCTCGGTACGCAGAGGCACCCCCCTCCCCTCCCCTTTTCCCCCGTTCCCCTCCCCCCCTCCATTCTCCCTTCCCGCACCGCGCCCTTCCGTCCTCTCCGCCTCCCCTCGCTCCGCGCGCGCCCGCGCCTCGTGTGTGTGTGTATGTGTGTGTGTGTGTGTGTGTGTGTGTGAGGCCAGCCGGGTGTATGAGTATGTATGTATTAGTACTGTACGCTGAGGCACCAACAAGTAAGGCTGGTGGCATACCGTAAACCTAAAGACTTCTACGGGCAGTCGACACAGCACCACGAGTGCCGATGAGTGCAGCACGTGCAGCATTCTCATGCTCCCTTGTAAAGCACATGTAGTCACGGCACTTTGTAGTAGGGTGTATTCTGAGAAAAGTGTGGAACTTGAAAGCTGCATGTCCACTCTTCCTAGTGACTAAATCCCGCACATGGAGCAGCTACACTACATACATGCATGCCAGGTTTGCGGGTGTGTTTGGTGCCGTTCCCTCCGTCCCCACACACACTCGCCGTTTCTCCTCTCCCTCTCTCCTCCGTGGCATGTAAGCCCGCCGCGCATCGCACATCGAAAGCGGGGGTGAAGAGCGGCGGAAATGGGTGGGGG